CAGTGGGAGCTGCCCTCACACACCTATAGCATGGAATGGTGGAACAGAGTTTATCCTTCTCTGAGCAAGCACCCTGCAACTCCTTTCTTTCACTTTTCTTGTCCAGAAAGGAGTTAACACGGCAGAGCCCGGCCAGGACTGTAACAGAAGGTACTTCCATGGAGAAGAAAAATAGAAGTAAGGAGTAAGTATAACTTCAACGTCATCAAAGCTAACAAAAAGCAGCATATTTTTAGGATTGAAAGTTCATGTATTATTTTCGGAAAGTAGTGTCAAATGCTAGATTTTGAATATTAAGCAAATGTTCAAGTTAAGAGTATTTTTAGGTCATGCTTACATAGCATTGTATAACAGTTCTTACCAGGTCTTATCCATAAGTGAATAGACCAGAAAGCATCTGACCCTCTTTGACTGCACATGAGTACAAGATTTAAAATGCAAGTAAATGAATACTTGCACCAATTGCCAGTGAAAAGTCTTAAATTATGAGTAACTGCCTAAGTCTGTGTTACTTTGTTCCTTATGGGCTAGGACCTACCTTCTTTGAATAAAGATGTCTAATTTTGAATTCCATTATTCATAGAACTAGTGTAAGAATTCATGTGGGTTTATAAAAATCAGGATTCAGAGGACAGGCAGAAGAGCAGTGAAGATCTGGTTGGTATAGCTACCACAGGCTAGTCTAAGTAGGACTGAGTTTGGAAACAGCCAGTGTTTACTGAATGACTCCTTTGTGAAGGGCATTATATGTTACTCTTCACAATATCCTGTTAAGTTATTTTATAAAATAGGAAGTTGAGGCTTAAAGAGGTTATACAGCTGAAACACAGAGAAAGGGACACGGAAACCTGGCAGTTGAACCCTGGAACCCATGCTTTTACCACTACATTTCACCGCATTTCAGTCATGAAACTTTACTCAGCTCAATCTGGGCATGACTGGCCTGAAATAGGGTGCTGTGGCTCCTAGGCAGTGCTGAGCCCAGTGGATAGGCTTCAGAGATCTAACTGCTATCAAAGAGCATTTTGAAATTAGAAACATGGTAGGGATGTTATAGTTGGAGGTTTCTTGACTATTCAAAGGAAGGTCCACAAAGGGAGTGAAACCATGCTGCCTTAGTCTTGTTTTAGCATCTGTAGTATAGCCTCCTGTTTCTGAATTAGAGGAACCAAACTCACGAGGTACTAATGTACAGACTGTCAATTCACTAATTTGAAATGGCAAGACATACCCTTTTCTTAAGTGACCAGAATAGTCACTGTTCATTCTTCTAAGAATCAAGGTTCAGAGAAACCTCCTTAGCCATCATAACTTCATCTGTTGAAACCAAAGGAAAGGAAAGGGAAAATTAGTGCTGATATCTTGTATCCCATCAGTGCAGCTACAACTGCAAAAGTACAGAGGCAGTGCAGGGCCAAGTGGCTGAACAACAAGCACTACAATAGAAGTACTATAATCAAAGATGGCATGGTGGTACAGCACAGTGCAACAAGGAGCATCTATGAAACTGGTCTTGAGGTGTATGTGGAATGAAAATCCTCAAATGCACAGAGATAGAGAATAAAACAGTGATTGCCAAAAGCAGAAAGCAGGGGAGAGGAGGAAATGGGAAGATTTAGGTCCAAAGATAGAAAATTGCAGACATTCAGGATAACATCTAATGTATAAATGAGGATTAGAGTTAATGTATTTGGGATTTTTGCCAGAAGAGTAGATTTTAGGTACTCTTGCACAAAAAAAGGGAAACTGAGAAAAGATGGATTTTTTTTTGGTGGCATAGGGTTTGAACCAAAGGCTAAGAGCTTTCAAAGCAGGCGCTCTATCACTTGAACCATACTTCCAGTTCATTTTACTCTAATTATTTTGGAGATAGGTTTTGCAAACTATTTGTCTGGGCTAGCCTCAAACCTCAGTCCTCCTGATCTTAGTCTCTGGAGTAGCTGGGATTATAGGTATGCCTTGTGGATGTTAATTTATTTGATTACAGTAACCATTTATCAAAACATCCTAACTGTACATGTGCACACACAAACACACTCAGTCAAATCTCACGCTTTACTACCTATACCTGTAGTATTTCCTTACCTTACAGATACTTAATGAAGCTGATCAGTATACTTGAGAAGGCAGTAATGTATCTCAAGCACTTCTGAAAGATGTCTAGCAAAAGTTGCTCGGGTTTCATAAAAGTGCTTTCTCTTAAGATTTATGGAGGCTGGGGATGTGGCTCAAGTGGTAGAGTACATGCCTAGCATGTAAGAAGCTCTAGGTTCAATCTCTAGTAATGCAAAAAGAAAAAAAAATGAAGTAGTACATAGTGAATGAGAGATTCTTGTACACACATATCTGAAACTCACCACTGACAATAAACTACTGGCAGTGAGATGATCAATCTATTGCCAGTGATCCAGGGACACTGCTGCTAAAAGAAAATAAAGGTCAGGGAGACTACCATCTGAAGAATGAGGGACACTAACAGCTCCCTGAGAATCTAGAACTCACAGGACAGATGTCTAGATAAAATATTTCTAAAGTGATATAAAATTGTCAGTCAAGGCAATTTTAAAAGATTTTTCCTCTGGTCACTGGGAAATGTAAACTTAAGAGTCAAACCTGGGCTGGTGGAGTGGAGTGCGTGCCTAGCAGCATGAGGCTCTGAGTTCAAACACCAGTACCACCACCACCACCACCACCACCACCACCACCACACCCACCCACACACACACACACACACACACACACACACACACACACACACACACACCAAACTTAAGTCTTTGCTTATACTTATATCACATTTCAAAGAGCTACTCAAATCTTACAGTTCATTATCTGTACATGTATTTTCTCACTGGGACTTAGAACACAAATGAAGGGTGTCTTGATTGAATATCTTTCTATTTGGAACATGCAGACATAATTTATTAATTTGCTTTTACCCAATAAATAGGGACTGAATTTCATTCTTCAAAGAAACAATCACAGAGCATGAGAAGGAAACAATCTTAGGGCTCCTATAAAGGAAACTGATGTTCTTTTATTTAGCTTGAGTTAGAACAATGATAAAGCATATCAGAGTTCATGGAAAGCACAATAAATAACTAAAAAAATAGGTTCATAAAATCAATGACACTAACATACTGAGACCAGATACAAATTAGTGCTGTAGTTTGCTTTAAAGACTTTAAAACTTCAAAACATACCTTTTAGCACACAAAATAATTTACTCATAAAAGCAATGTTTATGAAACTCTAACAAAAAATTTCAAACTTAAAAAAATAGTACAATTTTGCAATTCTAATTTTACAAGAACATAAACCTTTCTATACTTTCTCAAAATGGAAAGCTAAAGTAGTTTGTTTTGTTTTTTACAATATAAACAAGTGTCCGCGCTACCAGACTTGCAATCAACTCATGCAAAAAACTTCACTGGAAAATAAAACATTGGAAAAATGGAGTCTAGTGCCATCTACTGAGTGACACTGAGTACTGTCCGTTACCCAGAAAGTAACACTATGATTTTTAGCTAAGTGCAACTATACAGGTACACAGGTAGAGTAAATCTGGAGGTTACCTGCAAGAATGAAGACAATTTCTTTGTTGAGACTGAGGACTGATGGGTATTGTTTTTTTCCTTCCCTTTTAAGGGAAAAGAAATTAAGGTAGTAAGAAATGATTATTACTAAACAAAAAGCATAGTTAAGAGTAGAAAACTTTGGAAATTTTTTTTTCTGGTATTGGGGTTTGAACTCAGAGCCTACACCTTGAGCCACTCCACCAACCATTTTTTGTGATGGCTTTTTGTCGACAGGGTTTCACAAACTATTTGCCTGGGTTGGCTTTGGACCGAGATCTTCCTGATCTCTGCCTCCTGAGTAGCTAGGTTTATAGGTGTGAGCCACCAACACCCAGAAAACTTTGGAAAACTGAGAAAATAAGAATTTCCATGATTAAGACTATCTCAGCCAGGTGCTGGTAGCTCACACCTATAATTCTAGCTACTTGGGAGGTTGAGATCAGGAGGATCACAGTTCAAGAGCAGCCCAGGCAAACAGTTTAACAGATTCCCATCTCCAAAAATAACCACATTAAAATGGCTAAAGCAGTATAACACCAGCTTTGCAAAGCACAAAGTCCTGAGTTCAAACAACACCAGTCCCACCAAAAAGAACAAAAGACCATCTCAGAAGCTAGGCACGGTGGTACATGACTGTAATCTCAGTACTCGGGAGGCTGAGGTAGGAGGATAGTAAATTCAAGGCTAGTCTGGACTAAACACTGAGATCATATTTTTTTTTTCTAAAAAGTTATCTCAGGATACTTGTTACTAACTTATTCATTGTGAGCTGCTAGACAGGAACTTAAAAGGTCAGATACTTGTGTTTGCAGGGGAAGCTGTTATATCACTTCCAAGTCCATTTCAGATAAAGACTCCCACCTCCAAAGAATTGCTTTTACCCAACCCAAGGTACCCAGTGACTGTTTTGGGTGACCCAAAATGAGCTTGGCTCATTATAATGCTAAATTCTCTGCCTAGGGGCTGCCTGTCCATTTTGAAACATGAAATGTATGAAGTATGATCTCATATGCACATGCATAGGAATGGGCCCACCTCAGTATGTGATGACAAGCCTTTCTGGTATGAACATGCATGCATCTTCCCAGTAAAGTCCCCTTGCTTCCTTTATTTGGGGAGAGACACTGCTTTGGGAAATAGGCCTTTCCTCTTCTTTCTTGTTTCTTGCAAGCAATAAACCTTTCTTCATTCTTTTATCTCTTGGTTGTGCCTTATACTCACCAAGGGATGAGACTACTGCTTTCTGTTACATTAGGAAGAAGCTGGTGGAAGACAGTTACATCCCTGAGTATGTATGGCAGGTCAGGATTAAAGATTTCATAATTTTCTCTACTTCTTATTAGCAGATTTATCTGAAAAAAATATCAACCTGGACTGCCAATAAAGTGACACTCAGGGATTATGATGACAAGTGATGCCTACAATGACCACCTAAAGGCACAAAACCCCGATTAGTAAAAAACAAAACAAAGTGAAATTTTGTTTGGTCAAGTTTACTCAACTAGACCTCTTTAACAAAAATGATGCTGGAGAGTAACTGGCAAAAGCCTGGCCGTAATTCCAACAGCCTTGGAAAGGCAGACTTCTGTAACACTTTCATGAACTGCAAGGTGTTCTTTTTGCTCGTAGCTTCTGAGAACGTTACTTTCCTACAAGGCCAGCGTGTCCTGAGTACTAAGAGCAAGCGTAAGGCATACCTGTGGTTGCCCTTTCCCTCACTACACTGCTTATAACCCACAATCTGCTTCTCAGCCCCGAAGACAGCAGAAGCCTTTTCTATTCTGCTCATTATCACATTATCTAGTACTTAATAATGTCCTGTACATGTAAGTGCTTAATAAATATCCACCAGTTGAACAAATAAATAAATCTTATATAGTCCATTAACTTGGGTGGGGAAAGAAAGATAAAGACAATGATGGAAAGGAAGAAAGGAACAGTTCCATCAACTGCGGCTAAAAGACCTCATGCAAACATATACATACACACAAACTGCTATCATCCAACAACTGCTATTTGTTTAGAGATTCAAAATATCTCTAAGATATTCAGTAGAAAGATTTAAACTAAAAGTTAACACAAAAAGCATTCTCTGGAAGACTCATTTACAAACAAGTTTATGAAAACCTGTTACTATACAAAACTTTAATAGGAGCCTAGAGTTTTGTCTGTTTCAAGATGGAGAAGACTCTGCTGAATACACCAGGTGAGTGTCTAGAGTCCCATAGAGGGAGCGCAACACATTGAGGACCTTTTCCTGAATGATGTCGACTTGTTCAGATGGACAATAATCATCCAGACTTGACCTGGAACCAAGAAGAGAAAGGGGAAGAGAAAAAATACACATAAGAAGGATAAAATGATACTGTGAAGAGAGGAAAAGCCTATGTGTACTGATTTCATTGTAAAACAAAAACACAGATGTGTCAAATTCTGAAAGCTACTAAATGTTTGCCCTATGTCAGGTGCTTTATATGAATTATATTCTTTAATTTTCTCAACAATTCTGTAAAATGGTAATGTGATGGTTAATTTTGATTGCCAACTTGATGTATTAAGAAGTGTATAGGAGATTAGTAGAGCATACCATTTGGTGTGTCTGTAAGGGCATTTCCAGAGAGACATTAAATCATGAGGACTCTGACCTAATGAATGGATTATTCCCTTAATGGATTCATAATTTGATGGCATTATTGGGAGGAAGTGAAAGGAAGAAGGTGGGGCCTATTGGAGATAGTAGGTCAATAGGGTGTATGTCTTTGGGGTCCCTTCCTATATTCCTTTTCTGTGCTTCCTGGACACCATGATGTGAACTCTGCTTAGCCAAGAACTCCTTGTCATGATGGACTGAGTTCTTGGAAACCATGAGCCCAAATAAATCTTTCTTTACATAGCTTTTCTTTGCTATTGGTTATAAAAACACAAAAGCCTAATATAAGGTATAATTATCATACCTTTAAAGAAATCTAACACAAAGATTAACCTGCGCAAGGCAACAGTTTATAAGGGCTGGTGATGAGTCTGAAATTATGTTATGTGAGCTTCGGTGCTAACTGCTACTATTTTTTTTTGTGGTACTGGGTTTGAACTCAGGCCTATACCTGGAGCCACTTCACCAGTCCTTTTTTTGTGATGCGTATTTTCAAGATCGGGTCTCTCAAACTATTTGCCCAGGCTGGCTTTGAACTGTGATCCTTCTGTTCTCTTCCTCCTGAGTAGCTAGGATTACAGACGTGAGCCACAGCACCTGGCGTGCTACTACTCTTTCCCTAAAAGGGAGATGCCAGTTGAGAACATGTGGGCTCATTCTTAGTGACTGGACATCTTTTAATTCTTTTATTAGGTGTACACATTAGGGCTAGAAATGAGCAGAGTAGAGGTTTCCAACTGATAACAGGATTTTACTTCTAAAAGCAATTTGTTAACTATGTAAGTAAAAAGGATACATGGCTTGGTTCAAAATGAAATATGGGAATGTGCTGGTGTTGGGATTAGTTTCGAGGCAGTAAGGAGAAAGAAACAAAATGGGGAGGGTGGGGCAGGAATATATTTGGGAGTCTTTCTAGAACTCATCAAGGATAACTTGAATTGTACTTGTAAAAATGTTACTGCAAATTACAGCAGGATTAAGATGGGAATTTGATTTTATCAGTGTCTCCTGGTTCTGGACTGGGGTAAGAAAAAGCATTTAGAGGATAGATGGAGAAGAGTAGCATAAAAATCTTTTTTTTTTTTTTTGCCAATATTGGCATTTGAACTCAGGGCCTCACACTTAATAGGCAGGTGCTCTATCACTTGAGCTACTCTGCCAGCCCGTTTCTGTTGGTATTTTTGAGATAGAGTCTTGCAAACTATTTACCCAGGCTGGTCTTGAACTGTTAGCCTTCTGTTCTCTCTCTCCCGAGTAGCTAGGATTATAGACATGTGCCCCGGTACCCGGCTGATATCTTTCTTGAAGCAACTGGATTTAGACAGTAGTTACTCCTATGCATAAGCATTTTAGATATAAAGAAATAATCTGTAAAACTTATGGCAAATTCATTTCATTCTCTGTTGACCAGGTTACTTTTTAGGCTTGATATAAAAATTTAAGGTACAGTAAAATGATAAAAGAGCATGTTAAATTATTAAATACTAATATATACATATAGAGAACTATTTAAAAGTGCCATATGTAAAAACTTAATTTATAAGCCTTAACAATTGCTTCAATGATTTCAAAATGATTACTGAGTTCTTTTTAAACATTATTAGAATGGCTATTGATGGGAGCTACCCACAAGACGGTGTTTTAGAAATTGCAGGTATGTTTTTTATTATCATAATGACTACAGGAAAGCTATTGACATTCTAGGGATTGGGACAACAGGGTTGGGCTGCAGGAGTGACTGCTGTATGCTGGATACTTCTTCAATATAAGTAACTTCCCTCTGTCCTGCACAGTTTCCAAAGTTCAGCGATCACTCATACAAGTAAGAAACTAGTTTAAATTTTTTTCTTTTGTTTTTTGAGACAGGGTCTCACTATGTAGTCTAGGCTGGCCTCAAACTTTTGATTCTCCTGCCTCAGCCTCCCAAGTAGGCTGGGATTATAAAATGTGTGCCACCATGCCTGGCTGTTTTTTAATTTTGTGAACCTAGAATTTAACAGTTTTACATATATACAAAGTATTCTAAAAAATGGATTAAATATAAGATAAATTTTCCAGGAGTCCAACTACTCAGAATTGAGGAAAGACTGAACTTTAAATTCAGACCTTTACTAAAAGGTTGTTCAATAATTGATAAAATCATATCATCATGACAATGCTACTTATGGATTTTTGGCTAATACAATAAACACATGGATAACTGTCTGCATTTGTAACTGCTATGTTTAGAGACATATAAATAGGGAGTAAAGATGAAGCAATTTAACACACACACATATAGGCTCTAGGGGAGAATCTGTTTCCTGGCTTTTTCTAGTTTATAAATGCTGCCTACATCCCTCACCTTGTGGCTCCATTTTCCCTTTTCAAAGCTAGCAGCATAGCATCTTCCAAGGTCTTACTCTAATTCTGTCCTTTCTTCCCTCTTAGCAGGACTCTTATGACAATAGTGGACCCACCCAGATAATCCATAGTAATTCATCTCAAAATCCTTGAGTTAATCCCATTGCAAAGTCCCTTTGCCACATAAGGCAACATATTTACAGATTCCAAAGATTAGGACCTAGATATATTCAGTGGTTCATATTCAATCCTACCACACTTACCTTGCAATTGTCACAAGAGTAGGTTTTGGCAAATTTTTCAGTAAATAATATACAGACTGAATAAGATATTCAATTTCTTGTTCTGTGCTGATATGGTGAGGAAGTTCTGAATAATCGCAGGTTAAACCAGCTTGGTGAACCTGAAAATAGTTAAAAATTACATTGACTTTGTTGATTTTAAAAGATTCTTTAATCATTAATGGCTCTGCTGACAAACCTTTTAATTTTTCATGTTTTTATGGATTGGGATTTATTTTTTACTTAACAGTTTCTAAGATACAAATTTTTATTTTTTTTACAGACTGGGGCTTGAACTCAGGGCCTACACTTTTACCAGGCTTTTTTCTGTGATGGGTTTTTTTTTTGAGATAGGGTCTAGTGAACTAGTTGCCAGGGCTGGCTTTGAACTGTGCCTCCTGAGTAGCTAGGATTACAGGTGTGAGCCTCCAGCGCCCGTTTAAGGTATAGATGTTATCTGCTCTTCAAAGTTTTGGTAGAAATGGCCTAACCACTGGTCTTGACCCAATGCCTTTTCTAGGAATAATTCTTTAACTGCTTCTTTATTATTTTATTATTATCATGGATTCATTCTGTTTCTTTATCTTTTATTTGGTAGTGGAGATTGAAGGGCCTTGTGCATGCTTAGACAAAGACTGCCACTTGAGCTACACCTTCAGCCCTCTGTCTTGAGTCAGTTTTGACAATTCATATTTTCCAGCAAATTACAGATTTCACCTACATTTTAAAAACTGCTATAAAATTATAACTAATATTCTCACCCCACTTTTTATTTATTTATTTTTGGAAGACAGTGTTCTCTGCCACAGGTAAGTGATGGTTAATTTTATGTATCTTCTTGACTGGGCCAAGTAAGTGGTGTCCAGATAGCTGGACATCTTATTTATTTATTCATTTATTTATTTTGATGGGACTGGATTTGAACTCAGGGTTTCATGCTAGCGAAGCAGGTGCTCTCCCACTTGAGCCACATCTCCAGTTCTTTTATTTTTTTTTGATGGCTGAACATCAACACACTTTATTGGGGAGAAGGAACCTGCAGAGGGGTCTCCAGAAAGAGAACTAGAGCCCCTAGCCACTTACAGATTGCGAGTATATACAGGAGGTTGGTGGAGAAGTCCCAGGAAGGTAGCTAGGTGAGAAAATCCTCAATCAGTCCTATTCTCCCTCTCCTGAGATAATGTCTTAAGAATATATGTCATTCCTTGGAGTTGGGTGGGGAGTTTCTAGTAGATAGCTAAAGGTGGATGTCTGTTACCCTTTGGGGCTGGGTGGAGAGTTTCCAGTAAGCCACCTGTGAGGGGGGTCTGGTCCTAAAGTGGCTGCCCTATGTTCACCCTATCATCCCTCATTAATATATAAATATATATATTTAATATACATTGTATATTATATAATATATATATATATATTATATATATATTTTTGTTTTTCTTTTTTGGAAAGAGATGATGAAATTTCATTTAGCTACTTCCTGCTGAGGTGGTTTTTTTTTTTTAATTCATTTATTCATATGTGCATACATTGTTTGGGCCATCTCTGTCCCCCAGCCTGAGGTGGGTGTTAAGGTCTCTTAAAGACCGCACTTTTAGAGAAGATATTAAGAGAAAGTCTTCCTCCTGCCTTACTTAACATACTGTTTTCTTGTGTATCCTATATGTATAACCATACACTACTGGTATCTGTATGTTTTATATGTAATGGAGTAAATCAGCCTGAAAGCTAGAAGTGGCTCACAGGCTACCTTTTGCAACCTCAAAAGTTTTGCAACTTTAAAGTTTTGCAAACTGAAACTCAAAATATATCACAGTTTTGCCTACAGTACATAAGTGGAAAATACTATTTTATTGGTGACTTTGGATACCAAAATCAAAGATTTAATTTGCAATTATCATTCAATATAGTAAAATTATAGATTCTTGTCTACTAAAATAATCAAATCATTCAGTTTTCTTACATTGCAGCAATAAGCACATTATGTCTGATTATATCATCTGTGACCGAACCCTGCCATCTCTTCTCTTGAAAACATCACAGAAAACCCCCAATAGCAACCAAAAAAATCCAGATCAAAGCACACCTGCCTAAAGATACAATTTATGATCTCAAATGAACTCAAAGCATTTTCAATCTCTGAGTGTTTTCTATCATTTTTTTTTTTCCAGAGCTGGGAATGGTACCCAGGGCCTTGCCCATGCTAGGCAAGCACTGTACCGTAACTCTATCATTTTTAACAACCGCCATTTTAAAAAAGAGTGGGTCTTGGATTAGATCATGGTTAACCAAGATATTCTGCTGGTATTATTTTTATTCTTCATTTTTTTATGAAGATTAAGATAGTACTTAACATTAGCTCAAATAAGGTGGTTTGATTATATTCCACACAACCAAAGGAAACATTAAAACACCCCTTACTGAAGTAAGAGTAGCAGCAGCCTAAGAGGCAGAAAGTCTCAGCTCTGGCATAAAAATCTATGAAAAGTCACTTCAACTTTTGAATCCTTTTTTTTTTTTTTTTTTGTAGTACTGGTGTTTGAACTCAGGGACTCACACTTGCTAGACAGGCACTCTACTACCTGCCACATCCCTAGTCCTTTTTGATTTACTTTTTGGGATAGAGTCTTACATTTTTGCCTGGGGCTGGCCTCAGTGGTGTTATGTAGCTGGGATTACAAATGTGATCCACCACAACCAGCTTGTCAGTTGAGATGGGCGGGGTCTCACTATCCACCCCCGCCCCCCACGCCCAACCTTCTCTCCTGATGGCTGGCCCTTCATTTCCGTATCCTGAATAACTGGGTTACAGCAGAGTACTTCCATGCCTGGACTTCATCTGAACTTTTTAAGCTCCAGTGTTCTTAAGTACTGGGTTTAATGGGAAAATATATTGCTTTAAAGAATATAAGTGATATAAAAGAATTATGAGTCAAAGCATCATTGGTCATAGCATTCAGATCGCTGTAGACAAGCAACAAAGAGCTAACACACAAAATGTACTAGCCACAGTTCTTTCCCTTTTTATTTTTATAATTAGAGAAGAAAGGACAAAGGGGGTTTAAATAGGAATCAATAAAGGTTGAACTTTAGAAATTGTGGACTTATTTGTCTTTGGTGAAGTGAGATTTGACTATGAACAACAATAAAAATATATAATACTTTTGCTTCATACATAAAATTGAGAGAAGAATGCTTTCCTGGAAAACTTTTGTGGTATTCTGCTTCTAAAACGTATGTATTTTTTCATTTAGTTCTTTTCTTAAGAATTTATTTGGACGTTAGAAACACAAATAAAAATAAATCACTTCAGCAAAAAGCAAATTTTTGGAGCTAGTGGAATGGCTCAAACAGTAGAGTGCCTGCCTATCAAGTGTGAAGTCCTGAGTTCAAACTCTAGTACCACCAAAACACGACACAGAAAACAAAGGAAAGAAAAAAAAATGACTTGTGGAGTGGCTCAAGTGGTAGAGTGCTTGCCTAGGAAGTGTGAGGCCTGGAGTACCATCAAAAAAAAAAAAAAATTAAAAAAAGAAAAAAAAGTGAATTTTTTTTTTTTTAACCCAGAGAAGTGACTTTATAAAGGGTCAATTTTACACTTTAATATAAACTATTTACCATTTCATAGTCTGGAACTTCCATCCGTTTTTTCAAACTCTGTACAAGTGGAACTAGTGATTCCATTCTGGAAAAAAGGTACCACAGTCAATCAAACACTACAACTATGTCAACTAAAATTTCAGTAGCAAATGATACACTACTCTTGACATTTACTATGGATAATATGCTTCATATGATGCTTGGAGATGAAAGTTAAAGTTATTCAATTATCATCTTAAAATATTAAGAAATAAATGTTCCCTCTACTGACTCACTCTCTTTTCCTGGTACTATTCTTTCTCCTCTCTAATTACTACCAAGGTCTAAACTCACCACTGCTACAGTCTTCAAGTCCATTGAGGCTTCAAGTCTGTGATGAAACTCCCTGCAGGTGATGGAGAGCTACCTGGGTGGACTCAGCAGGCACAGGTTTCAGTGGAAGGTGACACTGTCTATGGGCAAGATTCAGGAGTCTAAGATTTCTAGGCTTATTTTTGCTACTGATTTTTAGGTTTTAAGCTTGGCTTGGGACTTAATGAAATCACAGAATAGTGGGTACTTTTCAGTATTTCAAGCAAGACTCATGTTTTGTGACTTGTGTATTTCTTTCTCCCTTTTCCATTATAATTTAGAAAAAAAGGGAATTGTTTTTAGAACTAGTTCCCTATACTGAAGAGACAAAGCAGTAACTGATCAATATTTACTGATATGGTCAAAATTATAAATTATTCTTCCTCAACATTGCTTTCCTTAATGACAATAGTCAAACTTTATGATATATACATTTCAGGAGTGTTTCTGAATATCTTAAGTAAAAATTACAACAAATATTTTGAGTATGTACATAGCAACAGGAGGTATTTCTTGGTCATATACTTTCATCTTTTAGCCATGATTTCTCTTTTCAGACACAACCACTGTCCCAGTTTCTGTATTTTTCTATATGGCAGATGAATCAATTACTTTCAATAATCATTACATGTTCATGTTCTACATTAAAGTACTAGAATTCTAACTTTCCATTTTATGTTACTATTTTACAATTGATTTCTTTTTTTTGATGGTACTGGGCTTTGAGCTCAGAGCCTCATGCTTGCTACATAGGCATTCTATCACTTGAACCACACCACCAGCCCACAACTGATTTCTGACATTTACACCATAGAGAAAAAGCTTACAGTTTGTGGGATATTAATTTTAAAGTAAGAGAGTTCCAGTCTTATGAGCATAAGAATAAAAGGTCTGTCTGATGGTTTTTAATTTTCTGGTTTTCTGAGTTTATAGATTTAAAGAATTATTTTAGAGAAAAATAACCACAATATTTATGTCAATATTCTTTTGTGCCAAGTTCAATACCAAAGGTTTTTACTGCAAAGGACTTTTCTCTTCATACTTTCAGGTATGTTAACAGTGTGAGAACTGGCCAAATAAGTGATCTGATAAGGAATGCAAGCTTTAAATACACCTGCCATATATTATGGACAGACTGGAAATAAACTTCTCTACTCGGAGTTGGGCTATTCTTTTTTAAATTGACACACATAATAATATATTTACAGGGTATAATGTAGTACTTTGATACATGTATATGTTATACAATAATCAAATCAGGGCATTTATAATTTTTTCATTGAGTTTCATTGAGGAGGAAAGTATTTATGCTCTAATTTACTTGTCAAGTAATTTACTTCTCTACTGATGGGTTAAGTTGCGTTTTCTTCTTCCTTATTCTATGTGGAATTGGGACTACCCATGCATTCATCTTTAATTTTCTGTAAGACTTAGCATAACACCTTATAGTTAGGGACAGTTATTGCACAATAATTAAAAGCATGCCTACTTACAGTGTGACTTTGGGCAAACTTAAACTCTGTGCCTTGGTTTCCCCATCTACAAAATGGATGTAATAATGAAACCATAGACTGCTATAAGGAAAAAAAAATGGCCTAACACTTGGAAAATCCACAAAGCACATAAAAGCTCAATAAGTACTATTATTAGCAAATCTGTGTTGAAATGTAATACTAATTTTTAAAAGGCGATTTATCCAACAAACCTGACACTATATTTATGACTGAAAATTAGTAGCTTTGCGGAAAAGTTTTTTTGGGGGTGCGTCTTACCCAGGGTTTGAAGCCCATCTCTGTATAGTTTCTTCATCATCACCATCACACAAATCAGCAAAAGTTGCTTCTAAATCTTCTAACTGATGAATTCGAGTATCAACAACATCTACCAAATCATCCTTTAAAAATAATGAAAAGCTTAGGTTATATAGTTATTCTTTCCAAAAACAAGTGAAATCCTATAATAAAAATTCAATTGATTAATTAAAAATGACTTCTAAGTACTAAACACACACACACACATATACACACACACACACAACTTGGACAGTTCTTTGCAATCACTCTAATAAGCTACAATATATTGTTAGATATATGATGAACAGATAAAACCCAGAAGAAACTGAGGGCAGATACCTCGGTTAGGTTACTAGCAGGCTTTTTAAACTGGTAAAGCTCTTGTAAGATTTTGTACTCCTCCTAGAAAATAAAACAAAAGAACCTAAGGTTAATTTTCTTCAATGGTGTGCCTATGACACAGGAGAACATCTTAGATAACGTTCATAGGTTTGTTTGGCAAACCTATGACTCAGTCTGTTTTATACTTTATATAATGTCCATTTTATATTTCCATTGTAAATTTCTTCAGTGCAACTCTATCCAGCTGGGAATGACAGTAAAGTGTAAAAATTAGTTCTGGAAGAAGACTAGGTGGCTAACAGGATATGAGATAAAAGTATCTCTAATTATATCCTGTTATACAAATGGATATATTCTAGACCTAAATAGACATTAGCTGTTATAGGAGATGTTCATTCTTTAATGATGACAACAGAAAACTCCATGTTCATTGTCCAGCCATTTCTCAGCAACAGAAGAGAACTCTGGAGCACAAAGGTAACACCAGAGGCAGACTGACAGACACAGAACCTGAGTTAGGAGACTCTATACAAGGGAATAAAGATGTCTGCTATACCCAGACTTTGTAGGAAAACGTCTCCCCTTGTCTAGCATAACTAGAAAGCTCCAATAGATAGAAGGATGCATATGGCCTCAATAATCTTATTTAGGATTACTTCCAGGAAGAAGTTACATTGAAGGGCTAAATTTTATTAGGCTCAATGTTGTGTCCTTAGTGTTTTATGATCATAACAATCCTATGAGTTGGGTCTGATTAATTAGTTAATTAATTTTGCTGTGCTGTAGACTGAACTCAGGCAGGACCTTGTGCATGCCAGGCAAGCATTCTACCACGGAGGTACCTGACTTACTGGGCATGATTATTATTCCCACTTTACACTTGAAGAAACTGCAGGTCAGAAAGATGAAGTACCTTTCTCAAGGTCACAGAGCTAATAAGCAATAGATAAAACAAACAGAACTTAACTTTCTACTATCTTTATGATATTAAAAATATACCTACTAAATTATAAGGTATAATGCAGGTTGAGTGTCTTTTATCCAAAATTCTTGGAACTAGAAGTATATAAGATTTTGGAGTGGTTTTTTTTTGAGTTTTGAAATATACATATAATCTTATTGGTGCACCTCATAATAGTGCTCAAAATTTTTGAATTTTGAAGAACTTTAGATTTTGGATTAGGAAATGTTCCACTTGCATATAATTTTAAAAGATTAAAAACAAAAGAAGAAAATATATGAAAGAGAATGTGGCCTCTGAAAACTAAGATAATTAAATATCTTGCTATTGGTTCTAGGAAACTATCTGGCTGTTGGCTCTAGAAGCTTGCTATCCCTAATCTACAAAGGTGAATACAGTACTCAACATTCATCTTTTCAAAATGCCATATTTACCTGAGTGAACATTTCTTTGAAGGGATTCTTGACAGAAAAAAAATCTAAGTCAATATCTAAAACAAATGCATCTCCTTTCTTTACCATTTCCAGCATTTCACCAGTGTTGGCCGTACTGTGGCACTGCTGGCTTTCAGAAGAACATGGACATGATGGCTCTCGGCAAGCTTGGTCACTTCTCTGTGTCACTGTGTCCTTTTGCAGTCCTTCTAAATGAGAGTCACAGTTAGCAGAGACAGCATTTTCTGCATCTTCCAGTGCTAGTTTGGGCTTCTTTGCCGATGACACTGCAGCATTTTCATCTTGATTGTTACAGAGTTTGTAAGGTTTTACCATAATTACATCCAACTGTAATGGTTTTTGGTTCTCTAACTGGTCTTCAGGTACATAAAGACCATCACTTAGGAAGTAATGATCTGTACTTGTAACCCTGGAACAGAAGAAAAAAATATTTTAAAGAAGAATTGTCAAACCAGCTGATATTTCACTGTGGCATCACAGAAATACAAGACATATTTGACAAAAACTTGAGAGATGTCTTTATATTTGTACTTCTTGTTCTGTAGAAACTGTATTCTCCAAATTCTTAGTTGGCATACAACTGATCAAGTAAAGATTGCATGTTTTTAGTCTATCTTGCAGCTAGATGTGGCTAATTAGGTAACTGCTGGTCATTGGTTATAAAAGGAAGAAAAGTGCATGGAGCCTTGTTTTCCCCCCTCCCAACTGGCACCTGAACATGGAAGTGGCAAGTTATTTCAGACTATGAGGAATCCAGAGACGGCAGAACAAAGACAGAAGGAACTAGGGTTCTCTTAACTGTAGAGCTGCCACATAGGCCTAGGCTATGTGTGGTGAACTCTATCAGAAAGAAATAAATTCTCTTGTCTAGGCCAGGACTACTTTGGTTTCTCCTAGCTGAATCGTTATCCAAAAAAAATCACTTACAAGAAAAATTACAACTGCAAATAATTTCTCTTAATAGAAACTTCCTCTGACCTATTTCAAAGCTTTGTTAAACTATATAATCATAGTATTTTTAACACGAAAAGCAACTTAAAAATGCATACACCAGGCCAGTGCCCAGACTGCTTGGGAAAATGCAGACCACAAGGTGAGCTAAGCAGCAACAAAGGTTGGAGCTAACCAGCAGACACACGGTACTCATAGCCCCCCAACCCTGGGCCCAGATCAGCAATAGCCCCCGACGACTGACCACGAAGGAAAAAGAAAAAAACAACCGAATAATAAGCAGTAACAACAAAAAAGACATGCAGCAAAGAGGGCAGGGCGCCCTGAGCACCGAATGGGGTGGGGGCAATCCCTCACAGAACTGTAAATAAACAAGCTGGGCGGGAGAAGGCAGGAGCGGCAGCACATGCCCAGCAACCAGTAGCGGGAAAGCTTGTAAAAGTGGTGGTGGGAGGAAAACTCCACAGGAGAGGGGGGAAGACCCACTTCCCACGTGAACTGTAAATAAACACACAGGCCTGAAAAAGTGGGTGCAGTGTCACCTCCCCCAGTGTGCTTTGAAAGGGGAAAGCTTGTAACAGTGGTGGATGCACCCAAGAGAACTCTAAGTAAACAAAGCCTGAGGGGCCAGGTGAGTGTTAAGCTCACTCCTGAGACCTGCATAAATAAAGCCTCCAGCAACAGCAGGCTGACAGCAGAGGGCAGGCAAGCCACAGCCTCAGAATACCATTCTCAGAACTGTCTCCAGACTCTTTTTTTTTCTCTCCCTTCCTTTGATGAGACAATAACCAAACTACACCTGCATGCTGAAAAACTTACTGAAACTGTATTGCATTTGAACTCAGAACACTTTATGGTGTTTTTATTTTTTTTTTTGGCTTTTTTCCCCTTTGATGAGACAATGACAGAACTACTTCTGAGACACCATCTCCAGGATTGGAGGCTGAGGGACTAAAACCAAAATTATTAAGACTGAAACTTTATTGCATTTGAACTTGGAGATTTATTTATTTATTTTTAATTAATTAATTAATTATTTTATTTTCTCAATCCTCTGTCTGTCTCTCTAATGCCTGTTCAACTTAGTATTGATTAGTACACTATCTTTCCCTATTTATATCTTTGAAACTTTTTTGTTTGTTTTTTTAACTTATTTGTTTTTCCCTCTTTAACTTCTTGCTTTCTCTCTTCTCTCACGCTTCCATTCTGAATATCACCATTGTTATTATTACAAGCTAGAAAATACTTAATTGCACACAGTACAGGGACAGTAACAACACCAAGGACAATGACGGGAAGACAGAAAAAACAGGGAAACCAGTTTCCGCACAGCAAAAAATTAGTACAGGAACCAGAAGGAAATGAAGAAAACAGATACTCAGATCCAGACTCCAACAAAATGAAGATAAACTATGCCAAAGGACCCAATGAAGCCCACAAGAATAATTTAAAAGAAGACATACTACAGGTACTCAATGAGAATTTTATAGAGATGATACTGGATAGGGTCAACCAAAACGTACAGGAGACACTCAAGAAATTCCAAGACAAAAAAATAGAGAATTTGAAAAACAAAAGAAGAAATAAAGGAAACCATAGAAGCACTGTATAAACACCAAATGAAACAAGAACACGATTAATAAAGAGATAAATGAACTCAGGACAAAAATAGACAACATTAAAGAGGAAAAACTCAGGATATGGAAAACCTCAGAAAAAAGAAAAAACAGAACTGCAAAACAAAATGGAAGGCCAATCCAGCAGAATAGAACAAACAGAAGACAGAATCTCAGAACTTGAAGATGAAATGGTAATTAAAGGAAAAACTGAAGAACTATTAATTAAACACTCAAGACCCGTGAAAAAAATGCAAAACTCACGACTCCATCAAAAGACCAAACTGAGAATCATGGCATCGAAGAAGGAGAAGAGGTGCAAGCGAAGGGAATGCGTAATATATTCAACAAAATAATAACAGAAAATTTCCCAAATCTAGAGAAATATTCCCATACAGATGCAAGAGGCCTCCAGGAACACCAAACAGACCAGATCAAAATAGAACTACCCACGACATATCATCATTAAAACAACAAGTTCAGAAAAGAAAGAATATTGAAGGCTGTAAGAGAGAAAAAAAATAACATACAAAGGTAAACCCATCAAAATCACAGCAGACTTCTCAACAGAAACATTAAAAGCAAGAAGAGCTGGGGTGAGATCTTCTGGGCACTGAATGAAAATAACTTCAACCCAGGATACTCTACCCCAGCAAAACTATCATTCAAAATAGATGGAGCAATAAAAGTCTTCCATGATAAGCAGAAACTAAAACAATATGTGACCACAAAGCCACCATACAAAGATTCTTCAAGGGATTCTGCACACAGAAAGTGAAACCCAACTTAACCATGAAAAGGACAGGCAGCACCAAACCACAGGAAAAGAAAAAGCAAGAAGTAGAGAGTAACCTCAACTTAGGTACACACAATCAAACCTTCAAACAACTAAGACAACTAAATGACAGGAATCACCACATACCTATCAGTACTAACACTTAATGTTAATGGACTTAATTCACCCCATCAAAAGGCACCGTTTGACGAAATGGATTAAAAAGGAAGATCCAACAATTTGTTGCTTACAGGAGACCCATCTCACGACAGAAATAAGCATAGGCTTAGGATGAAAGGCTGGAAGAAGATTTACCAAGCCAATGGCCCCCAAAACAGGCAGGAGTAGCAATACTTATCTCTGACAAAATAGACTTCAAACCTACATTGATCAAACGAGATAAAGAAGGACATTCCATACTAATAAAAGGGGAAATAGACCAAAAGGAAATAATAATCATCAACCTATATGCACCCAATGTCAATGCACCCAGTTTCATCAAACATACCCTGAAGGACCTAAAAGCATATATTAACTCCAACACAGTGGTTGTGGGAGACTTTAACACCCCATTATCATCAATAGATAGGTCATCCAAACAAAAATCAATAAAGAAATCCTAGGTTTAAAATATACAATAGATCAAATGGACCTAGTTGATGTTTACAGAATATTTCATCCAACTTCTACGCAATATACATTCTTCTCAGAGCCTATGGAATCTTCTCCAAAATAGATCATATCCTAGGGCACAAAGAAAGCCGCAGCAAATATAAGAAAATAGAAATTATACCATGCATTCTATCCGATCACAATGCAATAAAACTAGAACTCAACAACAAAGTAAAGACAAAAAACATGCAAACAGCTGGAAACTGAAATAACTCATTACTTAATGAACAATGGGTCATTGATGAAATAAAAGAGGAAATTAAAAAGTTTCTGGAAGTCAATGAAAATGAAAACACAACCTACCGGAACCTATGGGACACAGGAAAGGCAGTCCTGAGAGGAAAGTTTATAGCCATGAGTGCATATATTAAAAAGACTGAAAGATCCCAAATCAATGACCTAATGATACATCTCAAACTCCTAGAAAAACAAGAACAAGCAAATCCCAAAACAAATAGAAGGAGAGAAATAATAAAAATAAGAGCTGAAATCAATGAAAGAGAAACCAAAAAAAACATACAAAGAACTAATGAAACAAAAAGTTGGTTCTTTGAAAAAATAAACAAGATCGATAGACCCTGGCAAACCTGACTAAAATGAGGAGAGAAAAAACCCAAATTAGTAGAATTAGGAATGCAAAAGGGAGATAACAACAAACACCATGGAAGTCCAGGAAATCATCAGAGACTACTTTGAGAACCTATATTCAAATAAATTTGAAAATCTTAAAGAAATGGACAGATTTCTAGATACATATGATCATCCAAAACTGAACCAAGAGGAAATTAATCACCTGAATAGATCTATAACACAAAATGAAATTGAAGCAGCAATCAAGAGTCTCCCCAAAAAGAAAAGTCCAGGACCTGATGGATTCTCTGCTGAATTCTATCAGACCTTTAAAGAAGAACTGATACCAACCCTCCTTAAACTGTTCCATGAAATAGAAAGGGAAGGAAAACTGCCTAACACATTTTATGAAGCCAGTATTACACTTATCCCAAAACCAGGCAAAGACACCTCCAAAAAGGAGAACTATAGGCCAATCTCCTTAATGAACATTGATGCAAAAAATCCTCAACAAAATAATGGCAAACCGAATTCAACAACACATCAAAACAAAAGATTATTCACCACGACCAAGTAGGCTTCATCCCAGGATGCAGGGGTGGTTCAACATACGAAAATCAATAAAGTAATAAACCACATTAACAGAAGCAAAGACAAAAACCACTTGATCATCTCAGTAGATGCAGAAAAAGCCTTTGATAAGATCCAACACCATTTCATGATAAAAGCTCTAAGAAAACTAGGAATAGAAGGAAAGTACCTCAACATTATAAAAGCTATAATGACAAACCTACAGCCAGCATTATACTTAATGGAGAAAAACTGAAACCATTCCCTCTAAATCAGGAACCAACAAGGATGCCCACTCTCCACTCCTATTCAACATAGTAGTGGAATTCCTGGCCCCAGCAATTAGGCAAGAAGAAAGAATAAAAGGAATACAAATAGGTAAAGAAACTGTCAAAATATCCCTATTTGCAGACGATATGAGCCTATACCTTAAAGACCCAAAAAACTCTACTCAAAAGCTCCTAGACACCATCAATTGCTATAGCAAGGTAGCAGGATATAAAATCAACATAGAAAAATCATTAGCATTTCTATATACTAATAATGAACAAACTGAGAAAGAATGTATGAAAACAATTCCATTTATAATAGCCTCAAAAAAAATTAAATACCTAGGTGTAAACCTAACAAAGGATGTGAAAGACCTCTACAAGGAAAACTGTACACTTCTGAAGAAAGAGACTGAGGAAGACTATAGAAAGGAAATGCAAATTAAAACCACACTAAGATTCCACCTCACTCCTGTTACAATAGCCATCATTAGCAACACCACCACCAACATGTGTTGGTGAGGATGCGGGGAAAAAGGAACCCTCTTACACTGTTGGTGGGAATGTAAACTAGAACAACCACTCTAGAAAAAAATTTGGATGCTACTTAAAAAGCTAAACATTGATCTACCATATGATCCAGCAATACCACTCTTGGGGATATACCCAAAAGACTGTGACACAGGTTACTCCAGGCGCACCTGCACACCCATGTTTACTGTGGCACTATTCACAATAGCCAAGTTATGGAAACAGCCAAGATGCCCCACCACTGACGAATGGATTAAGAAAATGTGGTATCTATACACAATGCAATTTTATGCAGCCATGAAGGAGAATGAAATGTTATCATTCGCTGGTAAAGGGATGGAATTGGAGAACATCATTCTGAGTGAGGTTAGCCTGACCCAAAAGACCAAAAATTGTATGTTCTCCCTCATATGTGGACATTAGATCAAGGGCAAACACAACAATGGGATTGGACTTTGAGCACATAATAAAAGCGAGAGCACACAAGGGAGGGTGAGGATAGGTAAGACACCTAAAAAATCAGATAGCATTTGTTGCCCTCAACGCAGAAAAGCTAAAGCAGATACTTTAAAGCAACTGAGGCCAATAGGAGAAGGGGACCAGGAACTAGAGAAAAGGTGAGATCAAAAAGATTTAACCTAGAAGGTAACACAGATGCACAGGAAATCAATGTGAGTCAATTCCCTGTATATCTATCCTTATCTCAACCAGCAAAAACCCTTGTTCCTTCCTATTATGGCTTATAATCTCTCTTCAACAAAATTAGAAATAAGGGCAAAATAGTTTCTGCTGGGTATTGAGGGGGTGGGGGGCAGAGGAAGGGGGTCAGAGGGTAAGGGAGGGCGTGGGGGAAGGGGGAGAAATGACCCAAATATTGTATGCACGTATGAGTAAAATAAAAATTAAAAAAAATGCATACTCCACAGAACACATGTCACAAATCCTAGATTTTCTTTCTAAGAGACAGGGTTTCACTATGTGGCTCATGCTTGTCCCCAACTTCAGGGGTCAAGGGATCCTGATGCCTCAGCATCCTGAGTAGCTGAGCCTATAGATATGGACCACCATGCCCAGTCGGATTTCTGATCCTAGACATATCACTATGTTGTCACGTTTTTCAACTATATTGTCTTGGTAAGTATTTAGATTAGTATACTCAAGTAGTTCTTTCAGAAGCATGCTCTATAAAACTAAAATAATAGTATATATTTCACACTGCCCATACCTAGTATATATAACTATAAAATTAAAGATAGTGTCTAAAAATAGATTAATGACAATAAAAATGTCTAAGCATTTTTTTTGGTGGTACTGGGGTCAGAACTCAGGGCCTCATGCTTGCTAGGCAGGTGCTCTACCACGTGAGTCACTCTACCAGCCCTGTTTTGTGCTGGGGTTTTTTGAGTTAGGGTCTCAAGAACGGTTTGAACCATGATCCTCCTGATCTCTGCCACCCAAGTAGCTAGGATTCCAGGTGTGAGCCACCAGCAAGTCTAAGGTTTTTTGTTTTTTTTTTTGTTTTGTGGTAGTGGGGTTGAACTCAGGGCCAAATCTTTGAGCTACTCCACCAGCCTTTTTTTGTGATGGGTTTTTGTCGGGACAGGGTCTCAAGAACTATTTACCTGGGATGGCTTTGAACCTTGATCCTCCTCTCTGCCTCCTGAGTAGCTAGGATTACAGGCATGAGCCACCAGCTATGTCTAAGCTTATTAAATGATCATAAGGAAGACAAAGGCTGTATCTTTGACCTAAATTAGTATTCTTTTTAATAATGGAAGTTTTTACTTGTTCATTTTTATGCAAACATGCATGTAATCTCAGACTGTATGCTTATATGCACTGTGTCTCTTCCATTAATTTCTACTTGTAGGAGTAACTAAAATCATGATAATAAAAATCTTCCAATTATTGTTATCACAAATTGAGTTTTAAACATATTAGATCATACAAAATCACTTGATTTTGCTGACTAAATTAGGTTTCCTCAGTTAAGTACTCAAAATCACTCTTTCATAAAGACCAATATTATGTACCATATTTATTATATGTTGAGTTGTAATTATTTCTTCTGAACTATATAATAAAGAAATACAATGTTCATATATCACAACAAAGGTATTTGTGCAAATAAGAAAACATACTACCAAAGTTTAGAGTATTATTAAATGATTTGTAAGATATCATTTTTACTGAGGAAGACTGTATTTAATTTTCAATATATTATCATTTCATCCCATTATCCTTCAGGTTCTAGAAAGTTGTAGTTATAGTGTTTAAAATATCACATCACAAGAGAATTTCTACTAAGTCAACAATAGACAGTTATTTCTAAAAATACTGAAGCATCACAAGATACAGAGCACACTGGTTAAATATCTTATACAACAAAAACAGATACACAAGTAACTCAAGCCAGAAGATGCAATAATTTAATTTAGACTAAGTACCTAAAACTAATCATATTAATAAAATTAAAACCTAAAACTTACTTATTTAGCTATTGGATTTATTAAAACAAAGTGGAATAATTTCATTTTGTCATTCCTAATTGTTAAATTCAATACATAACAGTTACATCAGAAGGAAACAGTAAAATGTCCCATTGGATATATAAATCTGTAAGCTATTTCAATGACTTAATGAAGTTAGTTATCAATGGAGGCTGAATTTCGGCTTATGAAGATTATGTTATGCAAAAACCAATTTAGGCTAGCCACGTGCCGTGGCTCAACCCTGTCATCCTAGCTTCTTGGAAGGTAGACACCACGATGATCAAAGTTTAAGGTCAGCCCAGCAATCTCAACCAATGGTTGGGTACAGTGGCTCCTGTCTGTCATCCCAGCTGTTTGAGGAAGCACAAACAGTAGGATTGTGGTTCAGGCCAGCTTGGCATAAAGTGAGAGACCCTACCTCAAAAAATAACCAACATGAAAATGAACTGGTGGCTCATACCAATTCCAGCTATTTGGAGGTTGAGATTAGGATTGTGGTTTTAGGTCAATCTAGGCAAACAGTTCATGAGACGCCACCTTCAAAATAACCAAAGCAAAACAGTCTGGAGGTGTGGCTCAAGCAGTACACTTTATTTTGAAGTGTAAAACCCCTGAGTTCAAAACCTAGCCCTACCAAAAAAAAAAAAAAGGGGGCGGGGGGAGGGCTGGCAGAATAGCTCAAGTAACTGCGAGGCCCTGAACCAATCCCCAGTACAGCCAAAAGAAAAACAAATCAATTCAACCAGCAACAAAATATAAACAGTTTATGAAGGAGGTAAAGAATCTTGAAAACCTGTTATGGTGTTTCAAGAACTCTTTTTGAAGGAGTTGAGGCTTAATCTGATCCTGTTTGTGAGTAAAGATACAAAGGATGATAAAAACACTTAGTTACCTGATTGTTGTGGTAGAAATGTCTTTGCCTACAAAAAAGTGGTGTTTGCCCTCTCTCATTTGCTGAGCCCATGTGGGATGAAACCATATTACATGAGAAAAATGACCAGCATAAACTGCAGGCATAATCCAATTTTCAATACTCAATTCTCTGGAAAAGAAATGGAAAAGAAACATTAAAGCTATTAGTGTTTTTCCCCAAATGCTATTTCATCCACAATATTTTAAGGCAGTAGGTCTTATCGTGTGATTTCTTGGGAAGTTCCTGAGACCCCTTCAGGTTTACCATTAGGTTACAACTATTTGTATAAAAATACTAATGTATTAGTTCCCCTTTTCATTGTACTGACATTTGCAAACTGGTGGACTGACTGATGTTCTAAGTGGCAGCAAAACTCTACTAGAAGTCATCACATGCTTCACTGAGAAACACTAGTTCCTCCGTCCCTCCCTCCCAGCAAAAAAAAAAAAAAAAAAAAAAGCTAGTTTCACTTAAGAATGCCCTTGATTTTATTAATTCTTGATCCTGAGTGTGCATTTTAAAATATTGTGTAGAAGGAGAAGTGCACAGAAAGTACTTCTACATACTGTGAAATACAATGGCTGCCTTAAGGAAAAACTGAATTGCAAACTGAGCACCATTTTTCCTGAAGAAAGAGTGATCAATAAATGATGGCTTTATAGACTTGTAGCTGAATTGTTGGATTTCACAATGGAACTAAACTTTAAGAAACTATCACTTGTCATATTTTGGTGTAGGATCAAAGAATATTCACAATTATCTAAAAAGACTATGACAATGCTTTTCCTGCTTCTAATTCCATTTCTGTGAGGGCCTGAATTTTCATCATATATTTTAACCAAGAACCTGTCAACAGACTGAATGGAGAAGCAGATATGAGAACCCAGCCATCTTATATAAAAGCAAATACTGAAGAGATTGGCAAAGTTTTAAACAATGCCATTCTCCTAATAATTTTTGACTTGCAAAATACACTTATTTCTCATGAAATATCTTTTTTATGCAGAAGTATCAATATATTATTTTGCAACAAAGTTTAAAAATTTACCACTTTTAATTTTAAATCTATCCAAATATAACATGCATTTTAAAAAAAGCTTAATTTTGAGTACAAAAGAATCCTGAAACTAAAAACTGTTACTTTAGGACTAACTGCAGTTTGCATGTAAGCTTTATAGTCTTTTTCAAGTTCCTTTTTTTTTTTTTTTTTGGTACAGGGGTTTGAACTCAGGGCCTACACCTCGAGCCACTCCACCAACCCTTTTTTGTGATGGGTTTTTTTGAGATAGGTTCTCATGAACTATTTGACCAGGCTGGCTTTGAACTGCGATCCTCCTGATCTCTGCCTCCAGAGTAGCTAGGCTCTTTTTCAATTTCTAAAATATGTAACCTCTAAATATAAAAGAGAGTAAGAACAATAGTAGAACACCACATTTCTTTAGGAATTAGTACCTCAATTTGAGGTTTTGGAAAAGTCAACTAGAAGAAATGCAGTAGGCCAAAAGTAATCTAACAATTATACACATGAAAAAACAGTGACAGAATTTCAAGGAACTTCTTTATTTTTTACTTTTTTGGCAGCACTGGGGCTTGAACTCAAGGCCTCATGCTTGTTAGGCAGGTGCTCTACCACTTGAGCCACTCTCCCAGCCCTTAGGAAACTTTATTATAGAAGAGAAGCCAGAATGTCATTTTAGAGATACATTAGACATGATTCTTTCTGGAGGATGGAGGATGAATTTCACTATCTCTAATTCTATATAATTGAAAGTCAACAGGAATTTTTTTTTTTTAGTAATGGGGCTTGAACTCAGGGCCTCATGCTTGGTAGGCAGGCACTTTACTACTTGAGCCACTCCACCAGCTCTTTAAATAGGTTTTTTGACCTGGAAAATAAACTAAGGAAGGACTCAATACTGGAAAGATATACAAATTAAAGATGTGTTGCTCCTACAATTACGGGACTGTGTTCAGATAAGACACTTTTTTCCTGTATCTCAGTAATATCCCAGACTTTTAAATAGGAGAGGAAGGTAGAATTTCCTCAGATTACTTCTTAAATCTCTCATAAAGTTCTATATTCTAAATTAGACGTCAGAAAATACTAGCTTGCCTCTTTTTATATATAAAGTTTTGTTGAAACACAGCTATTGCTATTTGCTTACATAGCATCTATGATTGCTTTCACACTACCAGGACAGAAATAATTGTTACATAGACCATATGGCCAGGAAACCTAAAATCTTAAAACAGCTTGCTTTATTTTTTTGAGGACAGGGTTTTGCTATGCAGTCACATGCAACAGGAACTGGCCTTAACCTCACTGTGTAGCCTAGGCTGGCCTCAAACTCAAGTTTCTTCTGGACAGCATTCCAAGTTTTGGAATTACAGACACATATCACCACAACTGGTTCCTATCTGGCTCCTTTATTTATTCTAAATAAAATCAGGAAGGCAAAAAGTCAAATAAAACAAAAACAAAACCCATGAGCTTAGCAAATTTTATTACTTTAATTGTTTATCATCTACTAAAAGTTGTATTTCAAATATATTAGAAAATTATTAACAAAAATCATGTTACCCAAAGAGTGTTTCCTTATCAAACACGGTGCTGCTGGCATATTCACGGGAATAAGGAGGTCTGGATGTGAGTCAAAATGTAAAAACCTTATATTACTGGCAGGAAGATGCTTTGAGCCTATGGCCCGGTATACAAAAGGCAGAACCTGTAGAAGAGAGACACATTCAGAACTGGCACTGAAATCACCAACACTACTCCAATGCAGACTGAAACAATGTGAAACAAAGCTGCATAGCTGGAAGGACACCAAGTTGTTAAATGTGGGGAAAATAAAAATTTATTTATTGCAGGTGGTTCAGATAATGATCTCAGGCTTTTCCCCCTCACAGCTTCCTACCTGCATCTCTAGCTGCCTGTCTTCATCTCAAACCCAACAGGTAATGTGAGAGAACAGGTCAGGACTAGGGCTAGCAACAAAGTAGTGAATGCAGGGTCCAGTGTTACCTGTGTGTTGTAGGTCTTGGGTCTTTTCTGTAGCTTTAGGACTTTAGGATGGCAGGGCTGGACTAGATGGTCTGCAAGGATTCTTTTTTTACAGTTTGAACTCAGGCAGATAGGTGCTCTACCACTTGAGTCACTCTGCCAGCCCTTTTTTGTGTTGGGCATTTCTGTTAATTTTTTGGAGAACTATTTCCCTGGCCTGGCCTTGAAGTGTGATCCCCCTGACCTCTGCCTCCCTGGTAGGTAGGATTACAGATGTGAGCCAATGCAAGGACTCTGAACATCCTCACTAGGTCTAGGTTTAATATGGAATAGGAAAGCACTGCCAATCCACACTTTGGCCTCTCAGGCCCACCGACACCATGTCTAGGTTCAGAGAAACCCAACATTCTCCCTTCTTAGCTTTCTCCATCACTAAACTTCTCTTCCTTCTCTGCTCCCCCTTGGGTGTTGGGGACTGAGCCACTGCTGGGTAAGTGCTTTCTCCCCGGGCCCATCCCCAGCTAGAGAACCTCCAAGGCCTGTGCGTGATACTTTTAAACAACTTTTTCAGATCCAAGGGTCTCTTTGGTTGGTTTCCAGACGTCTAGATGAACACACCAGTTTTAAGCCAGGAAACATCTTTCAGTGTGAACTGCTGGGCACCTTGTTGAGAGATTTATGCACACAAAGAATATTACCATTAGTACCCCATTTCACAGACAGAGCTCGCCTTCTTAGCATAAACCCTTCCACGTAAACGGCAGGATTGGGGTAATGACGCCCAAAAAGTCTCGGAAACTAGGGTTAACTGCAGGTCAAGGATGCTGAACTCCGGAGACAAGTTTTATAGTGTTTTTTTTTTTTTTTTTTTTTTTCCCAGGGCTGGGCATTGAATCCAGACCCTGGTGCATGCTAGGCAAGTGCGCTGATGAAAGTCTCCCCGTTCGAAACCCGCCTCATCAGGGCTCCGGGAGTTTATGCCTCAGGGTCCGGCAGCCGCCAGCTCACCTCCTGATGATCCTCCACCACCCACACCGGGAGCTCGGGATAGCGCCGCAAGCGAGCGTGCTCTCCCGTGGAGTCACTCATGTCTTCGCACCCGTCTGCCTCGCAACGCGTCTGAAGTACCCCGGGGAACACCCCGTAATGCCCGAGTTGCAGACCCGCCCCTCTACCCCGGCGGAAACGCGCGCTCACCCGGTTGCGCTTCCGGATTGGAAGACAGGCGGGCGTCAGAGGGATCGACGTAGGTGATTGGTCTATACGTCCATCGCTCTCGTTGATGCGCCAATCATCGGGCACAGGGCGCTGCAGCAAGCCGAAGAAGTTTTTTTTCCCCTCCCTTGGCCAGGCTTTCTCAGGTTGGCTTTTTAATTCCTTCGATTTCCTGTTCCGGAGGCGCGGGCGGCGCCACTGTCTTGGCGGCTGCAGTATTATTCTGGCTTTGCCTCGATGGCTACCTCGCGCCTCTTTTGTAGGTAAACGCGGGCACTTGGCGGGTGTTGGAAAAGAGAGTGTTTCCGAGTGTCCGGATGTAAACGGGGCTGGAGTCCACGGCGGGGGGGAGAGACGCCTGGGAGATGGGGTCGGGCAGCTCCTCTCCAGACCTGCAGCTAAGGGCAAACGAGGCCTGGATGCCGTAGATAAATCAAGTGGAAAAAGATGCGTTTCATTCATTTGTGCAGCGAGCGCTGTGGTCCAGGCCTGGGGCCGTCTGGGCCCCCAGCCCAGGCGCTTGCCTCGTGGGGTGCACAGGTTGGCGGGAGATGCAAACGGGTGAACACGCACAATCAGCCGGACAGAGGTGGCTGGCTGCACATTGAACCTGGGGGAAGAGGGAGCTCTCAGTAAAAAGGTAGTCACCCCTGGCAAGTCCCTGCTTACAGACAGCAGCCTAGGAGTGGGTAGACGCTGAGAGCAATGGCTTTGTCAGTGAACTCCTTGACTTTGCGTTAAAGTTTGCATCCACAACACAGCCCGACTATCCCTTTAATAGTTTCATTCCATGATCAGTATTTTTAGATTTCTCAGCACGGAGACATCCAGGAGGCTCTGGTGGTGAGAGTTCCATTGTTACACACTGTACAAGAGTCTTTACTTTTATTATCATGTTGTTTACTAGGGGTACATCGTGACATTTACCAAAGTTCTTGCAATATATCATAGTTGAATTCACCCCCACCATCATTCCCCTCTCCCCTGCACCCATTCCTGGAATAGTTTCATTAGGTCTCATTTTTCCACTTTCATACATGAGTACACAATATTTCCACCGTTTTCACCTCCTGCACCCTTACAAAAGTCTTAATGACCCTTTGTGTTCCCCTAGACCTTGTACGTACCCCTTTTCTTATGTTTATTGTATTTTTCTTTCTCTTTTTTGTGGTGCCGGGCATATTGTTTTTTTATTTATTTTTTCCTCTCCTGGTGCTGGGGTTTGCCTTGCATTTGCTAGGCAGGCACTCTACAACTTAAGCCATTCCCCTAGACCTTTGTGCTTGTAGTTATTTTTCAATAGGGTCTCCCGCTCTTGTCCTCGCCAGCCTCTGTCCCTAATATTCCCACCTTTGCTTTTCTAGTAGCTGCGATCACCACCACCACTACCACTTAACACATAACCCCCCTCCTCACCCTAGCCAAAACTGTTTGTATGTGGGTTTTAAGTACACAGGGCCTCGGACAGTGCCTTACAGATCTGCTTTCTGGGTGCTTTTGATAATGCAAATGTGTGGATGTATGTGGAAGAAAAAATGTCTAGTAGTGACGTAAAAAAACATACCATTGATGTTGCAGTAAAATTTGTTGACCACCTACAGTGTGCAGGATGCTCTGTTAGGGGCTGTGAAGAAGTGACTGAACCAAGCCATGTCATCAAGGAGCTAATCTAGTGGAGGAGGTGGCCGTGCACACACATGACTTTAACATGAGGCAGTCTCTGGTAAGTGCTATAAAAATAAGTAAATCTACCTTAAGGCTATCTTTAAATTTTTAGTTAGAAAGACTTTAGAAAGGTGTTTATGTATTAAATATTTTTGCTTTTAATATTTGAGTTTTTTTTTTTTTTTTAAGCATTTTGCTGGAGTTCAAGTATTTGGAAAGTTCACAATGTTCTATGGAGAGAGCTGAGACTGAGAATAAAGCATTGTAACTTTTCTGAATAAGGTTATAGTTACACTTGAATTTTAATGCTGGTCTTATTGTAATTTTTATGTGTGATTTATGCTTTATTTATTTATTTTTGCAGTACTGGGGAATTAATTCACGGCCTCACACTTGCTAGACACTTTACTACTTGAGCCAGGCCCCCCTGTCCTCTTGCTTTTTAGTTTTTTGGCTAGAGTCTTGAGTTAACATTGCTTGTACTAGCTTTGAACCACTATCCTCCTACCACTTCCCATGTAACTGGGATTACAGGCAAACACTACCGTACCTGGCCCATGCCTACCTTATTTTACAATGAAGGGAAAGTGCAGAGGGGAAATTATTTTTTCCCTGATCTTTTAGTAAATTGGAGATGGAATATGACTATGTTTTCAGTCTTTTTAGCAACTGATAGTTCCAAATCAGCAACACAAGTAATAATCACATCTTAAAATTTAGTTGGAAACTTGAATGTAGTTCAATAGGTTTTTAATTTTGTTAGTAGGCAACTGTGTTGAATTTAAAATCATTATTAAGTTAACTGTAACACTGATAGTTTTGAAAACAAGTTTATATGTGTTTTATTCTTTCTGACTTACAGAATTTATATTCTTTATGGAAGATGTGACTTACCCAGGCAGTACATCACAATGCAAGGCAATACATGGTGAGTGGCTTGCTAGGAAAGCAGTGGTTTGGGAGAAGAGAGAGAGGTGCCAAAACAGGCAATGGGCCTTAGAGGGTAGGAAGGGTTTAGATACAGGGGAAGTCTGCTCATTCTTTCAGCAGTGGGCATAATACAATGGAGGTTCATGTACAGGGCTAGGAACCCAGACCAGAGTAGTTAGCTAGAATCCCAGAACCCTTAAACATCCCAGAACGAAACATCCCCGAAGATTAAGCTTGCAGTTCTCAGGTGCAGGTAGACATTAAAAAGTGGAATTATGTCATTAGTTGTTGGGTTGTGGTCTTTGTAGGACCTATTCAGAAGCAGCATAGAGTGTCGGGAGAGCATGGAAGCTAATGAAGGCCTATGGGTGATGATGGTGGCTGTTGAAATGCCAACAAGGATATTACTGTAGTAGTCAGGAAAGATGGTGTGAGGTGAATGAAGTACTTACAAGCAAAAATGATAGGACTTCTCATTTTATTGTATTTATTTATATTTTTTTGTGGTACTGGGGCTTGAACTTAAGGCCTTCACCTTGAGCCACTCTGCCAGCATTATTTTGTGATAGGTATTTTTGAGCTAGGGTCTCGTGAACTATTTGTCTGGACTGGCTTTGAACCATGATCCTCCTGATGTTTGCCTCCTGAATAGCTAGGATTACAGATGTCATTTTATTTTTATTGTTGTAGTTGACACATACATGAGAGGAATTTTAAGATAAATTATTTACTTAAGTTTTTTGTGTGTGTAGTGCTGAGAATTGAACTCAGAGCCTCACGTTCTCTACCACTTGAATCACACCCCCAGTCCTTTTGCTTTTAGACTTTTTTCACCCTAAATATGGTCTTGAGCTAACTTTCCCCAGGCTGGCCTTGAACCCTAATTCTCCTACCTCTATCTCATACCTCTGCTTCCTGGGATTATAAGTGTGTGCCACCATACCTGACCTAAAATAAATTTTTAAGTGAAGGGGGTGAGGGAGAAAAAGTTGTCATGATTTCTTGGTATGTGTTTTGAGGACCAATAAACGGCATCATTTATTGGGATGGGAACCACTAAGAAAGGAGCAATTGTTGTCTTGGAGGGGAAGATTGTTAATTCCTCTTAGGATAGTGTAAGTTGAATTTGTGGAGTTAAAGGAGAGGGGTTGAATTGGCAGTGGACAATGTGAGTCTGGAGCTCAGAAGTTGGTGGATAGAGGTATGACTGATTTATGGGTGGTAATGGAAGCAACACAAGTGGCTAGGTTCATCTTGGAAGAAAGTGAGTAAGGTGTCAGTCTGGGTCTTTGAAGAATACCACATGGTTGAAGCCCCCTAACACAAGAGGAGATGGCATAGGAGACTACCAGGGGAAATAGCTGGAGAAATAGGAGGGACACAGCAGGAGTGTTGGGTTAGGAAGCCAAGAAAAACATCCATGAGGGAGGGAGGCAGGTGTATTGAATACTTTGCGGATATGAAGTCAGGTGATTGATAATGACCATTGGTTTTTCAGTACAAGGTGGGCACTGGTCATTTTATTCATTGAAGTGGTACTGGAAGTGAAAGCCGTATTAGAGTTGAAACTATATATAGTTGATCCTTCTTTACCTATAATTCAACCAACTGCAGATTGAAAATATTTGGGGAACACATGCCATATTTTGTGCAGTATGCCAAATTCGTATGAATAAGCTGATAAATAGGCATACCGGTTGGATGCCACTTTATAGATCCTCAGTCTTTCTTGTGCACTTGTGTGCACATTGCATCTTATTTGTGTACTGAGTAGGTAGGCCTGTGATGTTTGTGCCTGTATGAAACATGTATAGACTTTTTTCTTGTCATTATTCCCTAAACAGTACAATATAACAACTATTACATTAGGTACTGTAAATAATTTAGAGATGATTTGGGGAGGGTGCTGGGAGTTGAACCTAGGCTTTATGCATACTAAGTGTGTGCTCTATCATTGAGCTATACCCCCAGCCCTGGAGATTATTTAAAGTATTTGAGAGGATATGACTAGGTTATGTGCAAATAATATGCCATTTTATATAGGGGAATTGAGCATCCCTGGACTTGGATATCCATGGGGACGAGGTCCTGGTAGTAACCCCTCCTTGGATACCTGGAGATGACTGTACACTTTTGTCTTAGTCAGCTTGGGCTGCCATAACAAAATACCATAGACTGGGTGGCTTAAGTAGCAGACACACATTTCTCATAGTTCTGGGCCTGGAAATCTGAGATCAGGGTGCCAGCACAGTTGGGTTCTCTTCCATAGTAAGAGCTCTTGTCCTGACTTGCTGCCTTTATGCTGTGTCCTCACCTGGAAGAGGAAGAGGGACCCCCTATGTCTTTATCTTTTCAAAAGGGTACTAATCCCATCATGAGAACATGACCTACCTCCCAGAGGACCCACCTCCATATAGATTCATTGAGGATTAGGGGTCCAACATAGGAACTTAGGGTGACACAAACATTCAGTCCACAGTGACCTTTCCAGGTTGTTTGGAAGTGTTATGAAGAAGAAGAGAAAGTGCAAAGTGGAAATAGACCTGGAGGCCAAAGAAAGTATTTTATATTGGAGTAGACCTGAGCATTTTCAAACATTGATATGAAGGGCCTGGTTGTGGGAAGAGGGAGGGTGGTAATCCCAAATAGACTTTGGAGATGGGATCCAGAGTACATGTGGCAAGATAGGCTTTGGCAAGAGAAGGGAAGTGGGAGAGAATGGAGTTCAATGCAGATGGGCTTGGTGAACTGGTAGAACAGTTGAGATGTTGAAGTTTCTATTTGGTAGTAGACAAGGTTATCATTGACTGTGAAGAGAGAGGAGCATGTCCGGAAGGGTGTCCATAGAAGATGTTCGCCAGTTATGGTGGACAAGAAAATAAACTGACTGCTGGAGCATGCTAGGGATGTCTTAGCAGAGCCTGTGACTGAATTTATGTGGGTAGTAGTCTGTCCACTTAGGTGTCCTTCAGCAGTACTACTTTATAGTTGGCCTATAAAGAATGAGTTGTTGGATCTGAGGCACTGTCAGGTTTTTGTGACTGAAGTAGAGTGGGAGACAGTGTAGGTTATTAAGAAAAAAGAGTCATTGAGATGCTGGCTTAGGGTGTCTGCAAGGAGTGGGGAGGCAGGAGGAGACAGAATGATGCTGATACACATGTAGAAAAGGAGTGGGTAGACAGGACAATATGGTGAGGTCAAGGTCGGAGGGGATTTGAGCAAGGATGTGATAGCAAATGGTTGTGCAATGGGATATTGAGATTGTCATTTTGGAGGTGGAACAGCTTTTTTTTTGACAGTATTGGGGTTTAATTCAGGGCTTAGCATACTTACTAAGCAGGCACTCTACCACTTGAGCCACAACTCCAGCCCTGGAGCAGCTTTAAGTACTGACAGGGTCCAGAGATTGACCATGGCAATGGGTTGGGTGAGTGAGACAGTGAAAGAGGAGTTTATTGGCCATAAAGAGTTTTAAGCCGGGTACCATATCAGTGGCTCACTCCTGTAATCCTAGCTACTTGGGAGGCTGGGATCAGGAAGATCATGTCTTTGAGGCTAACCTGGTCAAAGTTTGTGAGACACTATTTCAACCAGTAACTGGATGCAGTGGTATGTACCTGTCATCCCATGCTACAAGGGAGGCTGAGATCAGGAGTATTTTGGTTCCAGGCCAGTCCAGGCAAAAAAAGTTTGCTAGACCCTGTCTCAGTGGAAAAAAACCTATGTGTGGTGACATGCATCTGTCATCTTAGCTACTTGGGGAAACATAAAATAGGAGGACTGTGGTCTAGGCTGGCCTGGGGAAAAAGTGAGAGGTGGCTCAAGCTGTAGAATGTCTACCTAGCAAGCTTGAAGCACTAAATTCAAGTCCTAATACTACCAAAAAAAAAAAAAAAGTTTCAGATAGTAGGAAGAACCCAGTATTAAAGTGGGTGGAATATTCCATTGCTCTCTGAATAAGGGGTCACTTAGGTGTTCATTGGGATGATTGATCATTTAGGAAACCCTATTTACTAGTGAGGTTTCTTTTTTTTTTTTTCTAAAAATTTTTGGTGGTACTAGGGTTTGAACTCAGGGCCTCATACTTGATAGGCAGGCACTCTACCACTTGAGCAACTCCACCAGCCCTTTTTTGTGTTGGGTATTTTTGAGGTAGGGTGTCACAAACTGTTTGCTCGGCCTGGCCTTGAACAATGATCTTCCTGATCTTTGCCTCCTGAGTAGCTAGGATTATAGACGTGAGCCCAGTGCCTGACCTTTTTTGTTTTTGTTTTTAACTTTTTCCTTTTTCTTTCCTCTGACAGTCATAGAATGTCATTCCACACAGGACGAGGTTGTCCTCGAGGAAGAGGAGGGCATGGAACCAGACCCTCAGCACCAGCCTTTAGGCCGCAGAATCTGAGACTGTTGCACCCTCAGCAGCCTCCTGTGCAATATCAATATGAACCTCCAAGTGCCCCTTCCACCACATTCTCGAACTCTCCAACCCCCAATTTTCTGCCTCCACGGCCAGACTTTGTACCCTACCCTCCACCCATGCCTCCGTCAGCACAAGGCCCTCTTCCCCCATGCCCAGTCAGACCACCTTTCCCCAACCACCAGATGAGGCACCCCTTCCCAGTACCTCCTTGTTTTCCTCCCATGCCCCCTCCAATGCCTTGTCCTAATAACCCCCCAGTCCCTGGAGTACCTCCTGGACAAGGCACTTTCCCCTTCATGATGCCTCCTCCTTCTATGCCTCATCCTCCACCCCCTCCAGTCATGCCACAGCAGGTTAATTATCAGTACCCTCCAGGATACTCACACCATAATTTCCCACCTCCCAGTTTTAATAGTTTCCAGAACAACCCCAGTTCTTTCCCACCCAGTGCTAATAACAGTAGTAGTCCTCATTTTAGGCATCTGCCCCCGTACCCACTCCCAAAGGCTCCCAGTGAGAGAAGGTCCCCAGAAAGGCTCAAGCACTATGAGGATCACAGGCACCGAGATCACAGTCATGGGCGAGGTGAGAGGCATCGGTCCCTGGAGCGGCGGGAGCGAGGCCGCAGCCCTGACAGGAGAAGACCAGACAGTCGCTACCGGTCAGGGTCAGATTATGAACGAGGCAGGACGCCTTCCCGTCACCGCAGCTATGAGAGGAGCAGGTAGGCATTTAGGAACTGTAGAGGTCCAACCAGTTTCCATCTGTCTATAAGCCAAACAGAAAGTTTGTGCATTTTGATGTGTAGAAGGAAAGAATGCATGATTTAGGCTGTTTTCAGGAGAAAGACAACTGACAAGTAACTAAGTTGATGTCAGCAAAGGTGCTTTTGAGAAGCATGCTAAAATTACTAGTAGACTCATTTCAATTATTGAGAGCCTTTTACTCTGTATCACAGTTTAATGATGATCCCACGACATAAAAGGTCTTGTATTTTTTGGGTTATCAGAGGTTTAATTTTGCTCAGTGTGGTCTTCAAATTGAGTTACAGCATTTGAATTCTTTGGAATTGGTGACATGTATATGTTCTCAAGTCAAGACTCACACTAGTTCACTAGTAGAACTTGTTTTGAGTTTTAGGGTAAGTGCCTTGAATGTTACTGCCTCCTGGTTTTGCTTCTTTGCAAAGTGAAGTAAGATTAGTTACAGGTAATCAAACTTACAGTTTCCAAAGTAGCTGTTTTTTCTTTTTTTGGTGGTACTGGGGTTTGAACTCAGTGGTTGACACTTGCAAAGCAAGCGTTCTACCACTTGAACCATACCTCCAGCCCATTTTGCTGTGGCTGTTTTAGAGATGGGGGTTTCCTGAGCTATTTGCCTGGGTTGGTCTTGAACCACCATCCTCCCATTCTCAACCCCCCAAGTAGCTAGGATTACAGGTGTGAGCCACCATCACGTGGCCCACAGTAGATTTTGGCCTGTTTTCTTGCATTGAAACATAGTCATACTGAGGAAAGTTGAACTTAAAAAATACTGCTCCATTCTACATTGTTTCTTTTTTCAAAAACCAAATTTCTGTAAATACAAGAGAGGGTCAAGCAGGAATTCTTAAAACTGGGATCTGTGTGGACCTCTTGGAGCTCTGAAATGTGCAAAGTTTTTATGATTATGAATGTGTTTCTAGGAGAAGCTATGGCAGATTTTCAAAGAGGTGGGTGTGCATTTGTTACCTCAAAAAGCTAAGAACCATTGGTTTATATGGAAAGTAAAAGGAAACAAAATGATTGTACTAATACTTACTTGTGCCTTCAGTGAACTGTCCATGAAGATTTGAGGTCTTCTAGTTGTCAAGCTAGTAATGTTGTTTTTCTTGCTTTCCACCTTAGTGTGTTTACCTTCATTGTCTTTTGCAACTATTGTGCTTATTCTCCCCAAACCAGTCACTTCACTGTGTGGGTTTCTAGAGAGTTGGTCTTGGCTGTTGTTGTTGATCCAACAGTTGATAACAGGAATCCACTCATATCTTAGTATTTGCATTTTCCTTACTGCTTTACTGATTTGATTCTGACTGAATATTTTGCCAGTAAATGGTAGTGGTCATTCTCTGTTATGAAGAGTATGTTGCTCAGAAGTGTTGGAAGGGAAATGTGTTGTGCCTCTCCCTGATGGCTCAATGGAAGGTGGAATGATGGATGTCTAGTGGGTCAAGGCTACATGAGTCAGTTGACTTTTAAAAATCTTTTTGAGAATGAAGTATTGTTTCTGGTCAGTTTTGTTCTTAGTTCTGTAATAGGCTAGTTGGCAGAGGCCTGTGATAGTTTATTTTACAATTTTACAGTGAAAATCTAAACTGGAAAGTTTGTAAGTAGTTTTCTTTGAATGTGAAGTGATTGCTGATAACTTTGTCTCTGGGAGAGCATTTTGCTGCAAATGTTCTATGTGGCATTCTTCTCTCTGTTTTGAAATCTTGTAATTAGAGGAGTCGTCAGGACTCTGTTGTAAATGCCTACTTCTCCCAGTGATGCTTAAACTGTGAGTTGTGTTTAAAGAAACTCAAATGTGCTATAAACTGGGATCTCTATAAGTAAATCAGGTGTCTGAGAATTATCTTTGATCAGTTAGCCTGAACTGCAGTCCTTTACTGTGAAGGATCTCTGTCCTTCTCAAACAGTGTTTCATTGCAGGTGTTTTGTAATGTGCTTAGGGTGATTGCCCTGGAGATACCTTTATGGCACAGCTGCATTATAATTGGTGCCTTTTGGGGTTCTAGTGCAGTGTCAGTCATCTGTTATATATGGAATGTGTGGTGAAGCAAACATGGGGCATGTGAAGACCTAGTATAACTTCTGGAAGTATATTGGGAAAACTGAAACCTAATGCATTTGTACATTAGATTGCACATTAGGTACAAATTCTGTAGTCTGTTTTCTGGCTGCTCTGTCCTTTCTTCTTGGTGTAAATGAACCTATCATTTTATAGATTTCATCTTCCTTCTTTTTCTCATCCAAATATGGTTGAATAACAATTCCAAGATTGTTTTTAGGGCAAACTGTTCCTGCAAAAGACTTGCGAAGAAGTGTGTGTGTGTGTGTGTGTGTTTGTTTGTTACCATGAAAGATCAAGATCAAGATTACTCTAAGGAATGGAAAAGAAACAGCTGTAGGTGCAACGCACCAAGCTTGCTATTCTGCCTCATGGTAAGGAAGTATGCTGTGGGCTTTGCCTACCTGAGAAGTGCTCTGGCTCTCCTGACGGTAAGCCTGTAGCTATCATGGAGCTAGCATACTGTATCTAAGTGTTTATTTGTGCTTGCATACCAGGAAGGACCTTGGGAAAAGTAGCACAAAAATAGTTTTACTTCATTTTCAGTGGACTTATAGTGTTACTAGTGCAATTTGTATCCAAATTGATCTTTTTAATTCCTGCCCACACAGGGAGAAATCATCAGAAGTGTCATTCTTCAATGCGAAGTCTTATTAGCTGAATAGATGGTAAAAAACAAACCAACCTTAGAAATATCCTCCAATTAGGGTTTTTATTTGGAAATAATAGGCAATTAACCTTTTTCAGCAGTCATTACAAATTACATTTTATCTTTGACATGTAGCACCATTCAATTAATTTTCTATTGAGATTACTATCTATATGGGAACTGTGATCTTAGAAATACCTCAGATGAAGAATGTAGACTAAGTTCTGGGTGTTTCATTTTGATTGCTAGTATGTACCTAAGAGTAATGTATATATAAAAAATGTATTATTTAAGGGACTTTTTCTTGAGAATGGTAGCATCTTTAAGGGAAAAATAGTCTGTGTCTTCATTTCTAAGCAGTTTCTGATCTCTGTTAGTTTTATAAGTTTTGATTTTACTCTATTAACATTTCTGCCATTTGGATATTAGGTTGGGGGATATTTTTGAGTTCAGACATTTTATAGTCTTTCTAATCCTCTTCTGAAAATCTAATCCAAATCTTCTAAAATACAAAACTTTTGAGGTGCCTATATCATGTTCAAAAAGTTTTGGAATTTGGAGCATTTCTGATTTCAGATACCCAGCTGATAAGGTTTGTGCACATATTCTAAAATCCATAAAAAAAAAACCTCTTAAAACCTGAAACACTTCTCTTCCCAGCATTTTGGGTAAGGGATACTCAACCTTTATATGTATATGTGCGTGTGTGTGTGTGTGTGTGTGTGTGTGTGTGTGTGTATTTTTCCCCGTTCTAAGATTGGGTGATTGCGTCCCTTAGATTTTTTTATTTTATTTTATTTTTTTGATGGTACTTGGGCTTGAACTCAGGGCATACGCCTTGAGCCACTCCACCAGCCCTGTTTTGTGATGGGTTTTTTCAAGATAGGGTGTTGCAAACTGTTTGCCCAGGCTGGCTTCGAACCACAATCCTCCTGATCTTTGCTTCCTGAGTAGCTAGGATTACAGGTGTGAGCCACCAGTGCCTGACACTTCCTTTAGATTTGAAGTTCTGGTTCAAACTCACTGGAGTTCAGATTTTTGTTCCAGATCTTCACTGTACTCATTAAATCACCTTAGAAGCTAGTATATTCCAGTTTTGCATTGGAAGGTTATTAAAAATTTCTCACTCCATTTTTGAGAGTAAACCCAGTGTCTCCTGTTAGGGTTTTGTCCAGACGAAAATATCATTCAAGTGACTAAGTCACCGTTTCATGACAGGTTAGTAATAGCTTAGAACTACAACTCAGGCCTATAATCTGTAAAGGTTCAGAGGTCTTTTATTGTAGAACTTTTACCTGGGCGAATAGAGTTTTCTAGAAATCAAGGTAGGAGAGTCCTTCAAAGTTTTTGCTATAGGTTAAGTGAGCAAAGATGAGTTAATTAGAAGGTCTTGAGAGAGGATTATGATAGAATTCCCTCTATTGCTTAGGAAACAGCAAAAACTGTTCAAGTTAACTTTGTAATGAGAACAGCTCCTTTTTCCGCTAACAAATTAAGGAGGAATAAAAAGACTCTTACTGAATAGTGCCTGAAAAATTCTTAGATGTGATTCATTGATTTAGAAGATAAATTCAGTGAAGAGATGGCATTTTGAGTCTTTCTGTTGAAAACAGCTCTGTGTGTTAATTCCTTTAAGAGAGCGGGAACGTGAGAGACACAGGCACCGGGACAACCGAAGATCACCATCTCTGGAAAGGTCCTACAAAAAAGAGTATAAGAGATCTGGAAGGTAAGCAAGGCGTTGTTGTTGAAAGAAGTATTATTCCTGGATTCAGATTTTGTGCTTGTGCATCTATTAGCTAAGTCTTCCTAACAGCTCAGTATCTGGCCAGGATGGCCTGAGAAAAGTGAAAGCAGCCTGGCACTGGTAAGTTTACTTTCCATTTGGATTGCTTATGTACAAGGGAAATCTCGATACAGCTCTCGGAACTAGAAATTACACAGATCGCTTTGTCTAACCACAGTGCTATAAAACTATATATTAATTCCAGGTATTTTTCAAAAGTCTTGGAAATTCATAATTATGTTCTTAAATTTATTTGCTTTGTGGAAAAAAGAGCAAAGCAAGAGTCATTCTTTACAAAAAATGACATCAAGATTGCTGTAATCTAGAACTCCCGTTCTGTTTCAGAAGTAAATCTGTGGTCTTCTGTTGTGGTAATTAGGAGTGTCATTCTGGAATTTGACAGATTTGGGGTCATTTGTTAGCTCTGTCAACTTTGTAGGCAAAGTTGTTCTTTTTAAGCTTCGGTTCCTTTATCTGTAAAATTAGAATAGTTGTATTTACCTTATTTGAGTGGTGAAGGGTCAATGAGATAAGGTAATACACATTAAACCCTAGCAACTGGGCCTAAAGTAAGTGTCAAATATATGGTAACTATGGAGTTATGTGAGCAGTTGGCTATAGAAATTGGTACAATATAAGAAAAGCAGAAAAAGTGATTTAGGTACTAAATAAATGAAATTGAAACAGAACTATAGCAATGCAATTTTATTTGTAAATAAATGTACATATTGATTCTTTGAAAGATCATAAAGTTAAAGTGCCAAATGAAGAAAAGTGTTTACAACCTTAGGTGAGAGACAGTATATTATAGGAATGAAGGAGATTTAAAAATTATAAGATGATAAAAATAATATTTTATTAAAAAAATTAAATACTTGAATGTGATAGGTTGATTTCTAAGAAAACAAAATTACAGATTTCACACAAGAAGAAAACTTAAGCTAATAACCATGGAAAAATAATAAAAGTTGAATTTGTATTACCTTCAAAAATTTTAAACTGTTCTAAAACACTGAAGGAGGTGGAAGGAAGGGTCAGCTCATAGCTATATAAGGGAAGACCAAGATGGCACAAACTAACCAAGGGAAAGAAAACCACAAGAAAATGTTTCTTATGAGTATGGATATAAAATACTAGTTAGAATACTAGCATGCTATTTTCAGTAGCGTGGTATAATAACCAAGAGTTTATTCCAAGGCTACATGAGTGGATAGATTAGTATTAGAAAAATCAATAATTCTTTGTTACTAAAACCTGTAGAATTGTGTCAGTATATGCCTATTAGACATCTAAAATAAACCAGCATTCATTTATGAGTAAAAGCTTCAGTAAATTAGGAGCATAAGAGTTCTTTAAATTATGAAGAACACTATCTCATGATGAACATGATTGATACTATTGCAAAAGAGCTCAACTGAATGTTGAAACTCAGAGACTTTCTCATACAAATCAGAATGAAGACAAGGTGTCTATTATTGTTACCTAATAGCAAGTTAAAAACATGTGTGTCTTTGTGCATACCAAGCATTATACTGGTTTGAGTCATTTCTACTTTATAGGAGAAAGGAAAGAGTTTTTGATAGGACTGTTACATGTTCCTCTGGGAAGTCAGCAATAAAAAAGCCTTTGTATGGTAATTCTAGAGGAATTGACATTTTACTGATGCCTACAAGAATGCATTATGGAAAGGGGTCAGTAGGGGAAGAGAGAAGAGCATGTGGAAAGGTTACAGTGTGGAGAAATGCTCTAGGGTCAAGCCTAGAAGTAGGGAAATCAGTTTTGATGGCTTCTGTAGTATTCTATATGAGAAATAGTTATGGTCGACGGACCACTCATATGGGTTGTTGATTTTGTTAGAAAAAGTTTAGATGTGCATCTTGGGATCTTGTGGGTAGTCAAGTGGGCTCTATACTGATCCAGATGTGGTGAGGGGCCAGAGAAAGAAGGTGGTTGATTCACTGAATTTCTGTATTCCTTACTGTGGATGGGACACTAAGAAAGAGATAGGGATGTTTTCATTCGGGGCCTGAGGATTATTGAGATCTGTGAGATCCACCAAGTGAAATTGTGCTTAGTATTAATGGATATTTAGGTGTAAAGTTCAGCGAGATTGTTAACTGGAGGTTCTGAATACCTGTATTAGGTGGATTGAGCAGGGGAAAAGATGGAAGAGGAGGAGGGAGAGAGACAGGAGAAAGCTATTCTGTTTGATTGGACATCATTAGAGCATTTGTTGTTTATTGTTGTTTTTATTTGTTTTTTTTGGGATGGGTTTGATTACAGGTTTTGTGCTTGCAAAGTGGTGCTCTTACTTTTCCTTGAGCCACAACCCTCTAGTCTATTTTAGCTCACTGTTACTTTGAAGAGGGGGTCCACAAAACTGTCGTGGCCTGGAAAATCACAATCTCCCGATCTCAGGCATTCCCAAGTAGTAGCTAGGAATTATAGGTGTAACACCTGCACATTCAGTTTGAAAGGACCTGTCTTTGAGCGTTGATGATTAATGGTATGAATGATGGAAATCTTGTTTTAGCGGGTTTTTTTCCAATGCCTGGGAGCTTACAGAGAAGGCAGAGTTGTATTCGTGTGAGTTCTAAAGTATGGAGTAGATTGAGTAAATAAATATTAAAATTGTACACTTTGTAAAGGGAGGAAAAGGTTGTCACCAGTTTGCAAGTAGAGCATTATCACATTAAGTAGAAAAAAACGATTTGCCATTTTGGATTTGGAGTGCCTGTGATACCTAAGAAAATATATTTCATTCCGTGTTTTGGGAAATTGTCCCTCTCAAAGTAAACAAAAAAAAAAAGAATTGATGTCACAATAGATAACCCTGACCATGCTTTCATGGGCAGGATACCTGCTTAAAGATTATGGAGTGAGGATGCATTTTGGGGTGTTTCTTTGATTACCTGTATATCCAAATTTGATGAGCTAGGGGATTACAGCACTGAGTCACCATGCCCAGTTGGGCCTCACAAGTATTTTCTTTTTTTTTTTTCTTTTTTTTATTTTCCATTTTTCTTTTATTATTCATATGTGTACAAGGCTTGGGTTTCATTTCTCCCCCCTGCCCCCACCCCTCCCTTACCACCCACTCACCCCCTCCCGCTCCCCCCCTCAATACCCAGCAGAAACTATTTTGCCCTTATCTCTAATTTTGTTGTAAGAGAGTATAAAGCAATAATGGAAGGAACAAGGGGTTTTGCTTGGTTGAGATAAGGATAGCTATACAGGGCATTGACTCACATTGATTTCCTGTGCGTGGGTGTTACCTTTCTAGGTTAATTCTTTTTGATCTAACCTTTTCTCTAGTTCCTGTCCCCTTTTCCTATTGGCCTCAGTTGCTTTAAGGTATCTGCTTTAGTTTCTCTGCATTAAGGGCAACAAATGCTAGCTAGTTTTTTAGGTGTCTTACCTATCCTCACCCCTCCCTTGTGTGCTCTCGCTTTTATCATGTGCTCATAGTCCAATCCCTTGTTGTGTTTGCCCTTGATCTAATGTCCACATATGAGGGAGAACATACGATTTTTGGTCTTTTGAGCCAGGCTAACCTCACTCAGAATGATGTTCTCCAATTCCATCCATTTACCAGCGAATGATAACATTTCGTTCTTCTTCATGGCTGCATAAAATTCCATTGTTGTATAGATACCACATTTTCTTAATCCATTCGTCAGTGCTGGGCATCTTGGCTGTTTCCATAACTTGGCTATTGTGAATAGTGCCGCAATAAACATGGATGTGCAGGTGCCTCTGGAGTAACAGTCTTTTGGGTATATCCCCAAGAGTGGTATTGCTGGATCAAATGGTAGATCGATGTCCAGCTTTTTAAGTAGCCTCCAAATTTTTTTCCAGAGTGGTTGTACTAGTCTACTTTCCCACCACAGTGTAAGAGGGTTCCTTTTTCCCCGCATCCTCGCCAACACCTGTTGTTGGTGGTGTTGCTGATGATGGCTATTCTAACAGGGGTGAGGTGGAATCTTAGTGTGGTTTTAATTTGCATTTCCTTTATTGCTAGAGATGGTGAGCATTTTTTCATGTGTTTTCTGGCCATTTGAATTTCTTCTTTTGAGAAAGTTCTGTTTAGTTCACCTGCCCATTTCTTTATTGGTTCATTAGTTTTGG